AGGGATTCTATTCTTGGGGACAAAATGGCCGGGGCGTGAAGCTCACCATTTACCTCCAGTTAGTGCCGAAGTCAAGAATACATGGATCTATACATCCACTCCCCCACGCTTCTTTATCACATGGTGCTTAATTAGTTAAACATAGGGACAACTTTACCTTTTACTTGAGAAAAGGCACATGATGTCTGAAACGGACAGTTACTCTATCACAATAAGTATGTAAGAAACATTTCTCCATGTAGTCTATATGTGTAGATGGAATAGCAAATTGAAAACTTTATTTCAAACATCAATTTCCCACACGAATTCTGCATTAATTCAAAGTGGCATATTAATATTCTTGCAAAAATAATGGTACAGATAAATATAAGAAAAGAATTTTGATGGGGAATCCTCATGAAATCTATAATACAGGAAACCAAGATGAAATATGAAATCTTTAGAATTTTAATATATTCTTGTAAATCTAATTCCCATGCTTTTTGAGCAGTTCCATAAGAATCGACATTATGTTCTACTGATTAAAGTTTTTAATAAGAAATAATTGCTACATAGATGGAAAAAAACCTATTCCTGAACTACTGTATTTATAAAATAGGTGATAACCTTGACTATAATTATAAAGGAATACCACACTCATCAACTTCACAACATTTTGTCCATCATTTTTCTCTGAAATTTAACTCTCACACAGATGAAATTATTGGAAATCATCAACGTGGATTCCAACATAACACATCAACTACCATTACTGATGAGATATTCTGTATTCACAGATACCTAAGATAAATTGGCAGTGGAATGGGATAGTATATAATTTATTTATAACATAAAAGCAAAGGTGTTACTGTGCACAATTAAGCACCATGCCATGAAGACACATGAGAGAGTTAGGGTATAGCCCCATGGATTCCTAACTTCAGCGCTACTTAGAGATGAATGGTCAGCTTCAGGCCCTGGCTGCTTTACCCCTATAGCCCTTGGAAAGAAGGCTCAGTGATTGCTTTAGTGTGTCTTCATGTGAGGCAGAAGAGAAAAACCACTGCCCAAATTCCCTGGCCATCCACTATTTCAGGTATGGCTGCTTTAAACCAGTTATTTATAGACATCAAAAAAGCATTTAAACTAATTATTATTACATAAAGGTAAAGCTCTCCCTGTAACAGGCCATCAGACTTCAAGGCTCCCACATATTTCTTTAGACAATCGGCTCACAGATGGCAGTAAGATTGTCAGTCTTATATGCCGGCTGCCCTTTACCCCGAAGGGAGATTCCTGCGACTCATTTCTGTTACAAGCTGAGTTGACCCCAGGGCCACAGTGTGGCTGCAAGGATTAGGTAAACTGGAAAAAAAAAAAATCCACCTCCTTGGGACCCAAACCTGTGACCTTCCGGCTTGTAGTATAGTTCCTCAACAGACTATGCTAATGAACGCTCCAAAAAATGCTATATAACTTATGTAACTGATTTTATTTAATAACACAACGTTCAAAACTTCTGTTGCGAAACCTGATAAACAACAAGATGGTTATGAATGGTAATTTACAAAAGGTATGGAAGAGAGTAACAGAAACATTTCTGAAAGTAGGCCAGAAGATGTAAGAAAAGTGAGAAGGCTCACACTGAGATCTCCAGAAAGGGGTGAGAAAGATTTATGGGAGCTGATAAACAAGAGAGGAGAATGGACATCTGTCATAAGAGCGGCAAAGGTATTAAGAACTGTGTAGTCAGGGGATGTATGAGATTGTATGACCTTTCAAGGTCATACTGCACCATTTGCCTGATTAAATTAAATTCAGATCCAGTACATCGTTCTTACAAACTCTGCATGTCACAATAAATAAATATATTGTGACATGATGACTAAAAGGCAGAATCTTGGAACCAGATAAATGTTTCAGAAGCATCCACTGCTAGGTAATGTTAAGCACCAAACCTCTACAGCCATAATGTGCACAAGAGTTGAGGAAATGTGGAGGTGGTGTACTCTTGTTGGTCCATAAAAAAGTGATACATAGAAAGCTTAACAGCTGACAGACAAGTCTATGTTATCAGAGCCCAAAACATAGCAAAATGTCTGTGAAGACAGAACCAAGTACCAGTCTGAACCACAAGTATAATCACTACAACATGACAATATCATAACAAAAATGTGATTTGTCAACATTTAAAATAATCCAAGTCTTGCTAACAAAAATTGTGTACTTCAGTACTAACAAGAGTACCAACATGTTCATTGAAATTTCAACAAGACTCTCTGAAATTGCCTGACCTCTACATTTAGATTGCTAGGAAGAATGGGGAGGAGAAAACAAAAACAACAACAACAACATAATGTCACCTGTTTCACTGACTAAGATGTGGGTTTGGATTGGTGAATTTTCACTAGTCATAACTAAAGTTAGTTCCTACACTCTCCAGATTACTGTAATTATAACACATGTAACGTCACACACTAAATCTTATAATTTTTCTTCTGGCCACATTTGCTGTTCCCTTGGAACTTCAGAACTCAAGTGAAGTCAATTACAATTCCCATATTTCCTCACATCCTATCGGCAGGGACCATGCAGAGAAATCACAGTTCTATTTTTGTGTAATGCAGACCACACAGAAAACAAGTCACATGATAATTATCTCGCCAGTCCATTGGTGCACTGATTGTGTTCTAGCAATGAGCTATAAACATTCATTCTATTGTTGCATGTTCTTAAGTGAGAAGGTGTTTATCACGCCGTTACCAAGCTATACACATTACAATAATTACTTATTGATTTACATGCTGAACTCAACAGCCAGGGACTAATTAGAGTTAGAGTGAATAAATAAGCATACAAACATAAAAAAACTTGGCAGAATAAAAATATATACTAAGCAGTGTTGCTATCAAGAGGAAATGTTTTTGGTGAATGTTGCTTATAAGAAACACTTAACCACTTAACACTCCCTCCCCTTTTTACTTGGTACGAGAATACCATAATTGTCACAGGCTAACTCACCATTGAACAACAAAGATACAGTTCTTTAACTTACAGATTGAACAACATTAGGTCACTGTTCTTCATCTATATTATCCTCACACCAACCATCTTCTTCCAAATTTGTAATCTATTACATTAATATGGAGTCAAATAATATTTCCAACAATCTTAAATAAAACATACTGGTAGAACTGTTAAAATAAATATTTCCCATCTGAGCTAGTATCCCCAGATAACCTATCTATGGATCCTCTCTCAACTAGCTGACCAACTGATCAACCTGATCAAACCAGATCAGGCCAGGCCAGGCCAAGACTGAGCAATCAACTGACTGACTGATCAGACCAAACCAAACCAATCACTCCATGGAGTCGAGCCCTTCTTGATAAGCCAACAACTGCTCAGCTATTCAAACAATTCCAAATCTTTTATGGAAATTAAGGTTCATTACAGTGTTCACAAGAGCCTGTCATTTGTGTCTATCTTAAGCTAGATAAATACAGTCCATAACTTCCATCCTACTGCTTGAAGATCCATTTTAGTATTATCCCCTCCTCTGTATATAGGTCCTTCTTGTGGTCTCCTTCATTGTGGTTTTCCCACAAAAACCCTGTATGCATTCCTCTTACCCCTATGCATGTTACATACCCTGCCCCTCTCACCTTCCTTGACTTAATCATTCTAATTCTATTTGGTGTAGAGTACAAATTATGCAGCTCCTCATTATGCAATTTTTACTGCTTCCTGTTATTTCATCTCTCTTGGGTCCAAATACTTTCCTCAGCACCCTGTTCTGAAACATCCTCCATCTATGTTCTTCCCTTAACGTCCAGGATCAAGCTTCACATCAATACAAAACTGTACTGGATTTTCCTTTACTTACTTACTTACTTACTTACTTACTTACTTACTCGTGGAGCTGAGCCCTTCTGGAGGAGCCGCCAATTCTGCAGCTACTCAAGAATCTTCCAGCATTTTATGGAACCCGAAGTTTCATTACCATGTTCACATGAGCCTTCCATTGGTCCCCATCCTGAGCCAGATTAATCCAATCCATAACATCCCATCCTGTCTCTCCAAGATCCATTTTAACATTGTTCACCCACCTATGCCTTGGTCTTCCCAGTGGTCTCTTTCCTTCTGGGTTTCCCACCAATATCCTATACACATTCCTCCTCTCTCCCTTTCATGCTACATGCCCTGCCCACCTCATCCTCCTTGACTTGAACATCCTATTTATACTTGGAGAAGAGTACAAATTATGAAGCTCCTCATTGTGCAATTTTCTCCACCCTCCTGTCACTTCATCTCTCTTCGGTCAAAATATTTTCCTTAACAGCCTGTTCTCAAACACCCTCAGTCTATGTTCCTCCCTTACATCCATACAGAACCACAGGCATCCCTTACACTTCAAGTTATAATTTTAGAGAATATGCATGTTATTAGGTCATGTAGCATGACTGGGGGAGACCAGGAATGCGTATAGGATATTGGTGGGAAAGCCAGAAGGGAAGAGACCACAGGGAAGGCCAAGGCGTAGGTGGGTGGACAATATTAGAACAGATCTTAGAGAGAGAGGATGGGATGGTATGGATTGGATGGATCTGGCTCAAGATAGGGACCAGTGGAGGGCTCTTGTGAACACGGTGATGAAGCTTCGGGTTCCACAAAATGCTGGAAAATTCTTGAGTATCTGCAGAATTGGTGGCTCCTCCAGAATGGCTCAGCTCCATGAGTAAGTGATGCATGTTATTAATAAGGGAAGATATTTGAGAACTAACACAAACGCCTCTCACTGCCAACTGGGAGTCCCATCCATAATAATCAACAATTACTTCTCTATAATGACATACTAAGGAGAATGAAATTCTTTAAGCTTCATTATCTACATAGCCAAATTACTGAAGCACCAAACATTTACAGCATCTGCTCCAATATTTATACAAATGTGACTTAAGGATGTACTACACCTGAAGAGACATGGCATGTACTGGAGGTAGAGTATATATAAACTAGTATGGCAACCACCTTAAAGAAGTGTAGTGTGGGAATTCTGCACAGGCAAACCAGTATCTGGTATCAAGTGAAAAAAAAAAAAAATAGTGTAACTCTAAAATGGCAAAGATTGTGGTGAGTATATTGCGTATTAATGAAACTGTTTCCCTGCAACTTAAATATTCTTCATAAAACCTAAATTAAATTCATTATTCATATATATACTATATTCATGTACTATATCCAGTACTGATAGATGTAAAATATTCTGGACATTCTTTGCATATGCAGGTGGTCTATACATGAAACATTTAACACAAAGAGATGTAATCTGATAAAAGAAGCAAATATGCACATATGATGAATTGGTATACGTACCAAAAATGTGAAACAGCTGTACCACATGCATTAACAAGTTTATTACAGGGAATCTTTAACTAATTATTTTGCCTTTCATGCTCATTACTTGATAAAATATGCTCAGATATCATGAATGTAATGTTCAATATTCTTTTACTTGGCTGTCTTAAAGGAAAAGGATGGGAGTGTATGGCTTACATTCAGCTGGCTCCAAACAGGGACCTGCAGTGGGCTTATTAATGAATCTCCAGCTTTCATAGTATTTCAAAACCTGGGGTGTGACTAAGTTCTCAAAATGAACTCTTCATCATGGTTTAGTTAGATATTGCAGTAAATTTCACCTTGCACATAACCAGGCAGTTAATAGCACTGCAAATTCCTTAATGGAGATTTTAGCTATAAGATGAGCACTAAATCGTTTCACAATTTCATGAAAGGGTGAAAGTCATTCCACAGATCACAGAGCGGTGTTTCTCAAACTTTCAGTGGTTGGCACACGCACGGACAACTCAGCTATCCTAACATCCCCCTAACCATACAGAGCATACAGTTGTGCCTTTTTCTGAGAACAGGAGAAAAATGATAGTTGAAGTTGCTATAAAACATTTTTTTCTATCCATGAATTTAAAGTAAATATTTTATACAACGATTCATTACAACAATAGTAGAGTGAATTTATCGACTACACAACACGTTTTTATTATCACATATCACTACAAGTTTTGACCTCAAGAAGTCATCCTCAGGTGTATGAACATGGCTGTATAATTACACGCGGTCCCATTCACTTTTTCCTCATTCGACCTCGTATCTTTTCCAGACTTATGCTCACTAATATAGCGAGTTCTTTTTATAAAACACAGGTTATAATTATTATTATTCTAATTTAATTGTTAAAAGTTAAAAGTTCGTGAATCGAAGTAACCAGTGACATGAACTGAACTTCGATTCACGAACTTTTAACTTTTAACAATTAAATTAGAATAATAATTTTAACTTGTGTTTTATAAAAAGAACTCGATATATTAGTGAGCAAGTCTGGAAAAGATGCAAGGTCGAATGTGGAAAAAGTGAATGTGACCGCATGTAATTATACAGCCGTGTTCATACACCTGAGGATGACCTCTTGAGGTCGAAACATATAGTGATATGTGATAATAAAAACGTGTTGTGTAGTCGATAAATTCACTCTACTATTGTTGCTAGGCAATGGCTCAGAAACATGTTCACCAAGCTGTTGCATAGCAACAAATACACGAGACAATAAAATGGTTGGGGACGTTGTCTTATATGCAGTCTGAGTAGTATCAAAGGAGAATCTGTGTATACCCCTCTTGTTGCTAGGGAGCATCTAAGTAAACACATTCTCACAGGAACGAAGAATTGATGGAGGCATCATTTTATTTGCTTTCCATGTTGTACCAATGGAAAGTAGGACATTAGTTCTTCCCAGAACATCTTGTACCTGCTCACGTGGTCCCAGATTCAAATATGGGCTAGAAGACAGGTTATCCTTACAGAACTATTCTGTGGTTTTCTTCAGTCCCTCATGGCAAATGTTAGGACTTGATTAAAAAACGAAAAGCAGCATATTCCAACCCACAATTCAAAACTCCTCCATGTTGTACTATTTATTTTTCCATTTGAAAAATCTATTAAGATCCTTCCTTTTATTTCTTTAATACTCAAGTTAGAGAAAAAAAGAGACAGATGAGAAACCGCAAGAAAACCGAAAAGTGGGTGGAAAGGTAGGCAAGAAAAGAGGTAGCATACACTGGGCCTAATGGCCTGAATGGAGAAACTCATCACGATAAATCACACAAAGAAGGCTTCCGACAGTCTCTTGGGAGTAGATGAGAGGTTTCCATGACTTACTTAGGCAGATGCCATCTACCTCTTCAAGCTGTTAGAATGAAGATCAATTTCAGTTGCCTTCCCACCATCCTAGGACTTTCATTCCTCTTATGCTTCTTTCTTATCTGATTTGCACTCTATGTCTTCAGTTCCTTTTAGTGTTGTGTCAGTTCTCCCACCTGACTTACGGCTTTCTCTCCTCTTCCGCTTCATATATTTATCCCTATCTTAGTCTGCCTTCAACTCCGGCTAGTATCCCATCTGTTCTCCTGCCCAAGTCAGGAATTTATTTCTCATCTCTGTACTTGGGACCCTAATTTTTCACCCTACTCCTTATTACTACTGATTTGCTCATATCCATACCACTCTTCTGGATGCCTGCCTTACACTCCCATCCTAAAGACAGAGGCAGAACACTCCTCTGCAACATTAGTAAACGTCTACCAGACTACATAACAGCAGTGTGTCAGCATCACAGGCATATGGTCTAAATTCCAGTATCCTAAAATTACGATGTTCCTTTGATCGTAAAATGGACGGACAACAAAATCCAGCATAAAGCTGATATTTTTAAACCTGTCATGAGTGATGGAAACTGAGCTATATGGGGACTTGCAATTTAACCCCCCCTCCCTATGCTCATAAAATATCATGAACATTGACATTTCTGTACCAAAAAGAGGTCCAAGTGTAAAAATTACATAAAACTGCATTCATTACATAGACTTGGGAAGGCCTATACTGTTCATGAATGCCAGATCATTGCCAAGGACACAGTGGAACATGCTATGAAGATAATGAATGTTTTGTTCTTCCATGCAGAATTGGCATTGGACCAGAACATGAGAAATGGCAAGCAGTGTACCACAGTATGAAAAAACCGGTGCTGGAACTGCACATAACAAATATCTGCATAATAAGTGGGTGTGACTGATTCAGAAGTGACTGTAACTTCCACTCTCCTGATGGAGCCAAGAGTGGAGTGACACACTGGCATGGACTGTTTCACTGTTTGCTAGTTGTTACCTTGTATCCAGGTCCACTTGTTTTGCCAACATGATCGAATGGCATGCAGACACATCACTGTCCAGAACTCAATAAAATACCATGTCTCTAAGCAAAGCAGCTTGAATTAACAGCAGCATCAGTGGTATCACTGCAAGGTAGGCTAGGTAGGCCATGACAAGTACCCAGCAAAAGACAACAGCTCTCTCACCTTACTGAGTTGGCATATTTGGCAGAAAATGTCAATGATGACAAAATGAGCTGTTGTGTATGCAAGAAGGTTCTGCAAAGCACTTAAGAAGTTAGCACAGACAAGGCTGTGCTGCTGATGTTGGTGTCATATAAACAAGATAGTGTATTACATGGCATTCAGTTCACACAGACACTGCTACAACTACTGAGACAGAAGAGAAAAACAGGCTTCACAGATGAAGTCAGAATCAGTCTTCTTCTCTCCCAATTCTTGGAAAGCACAAAGCTTTCTTAGTGTCAACTGTTTACTGAGTTCTCTAACCCACAGCTTAACACATTCCCTGAGGTTCCCTGAGGTAACTTTGTTACATCTGGAGCGGTGTTACATAGTAAACACAATGATACATCAATTCAAACACAAATATGTATAGAATATGGAATCTATGAAAATTAGGTATAGGAAGAAGACTAGTACACTAAAGGAATCGTAATATTGTTAATAACTTGACATATTCACATGTATTTCCTGTGTTACAGATTGCTCTGATGGCCACATTTGCTGTCTGTGGTGCATATCCTTACCCATCATCCTCTGCACAATTATTCACAATTCCATTCTCTCCATTAAAATTTCTGAAGGGTATCTTGGATGATATTTTAAAATTCAATCCAATACCAAAGCTCAAACCCCAAACATCACCTCCTACCACAAGTGCACCCTCAGAGGCTGATCCTTCTGCAGATGCACACATAAAGGTTGACCCCTCTGCAGATGCACCCACAGAGACTGATAATTCTGCAGAGGCACCCAAAGAGGCTGATCCATCAGCAGAAGCCCCTGCATTGAATGACTCTTCTGAAAATGCACCCATAAAGGCTAATCCTCCTGCAGATGCACCTGCATTGAGTGATCCTTCTGCAGAGGCACCCAAAGAGGCTGATCCATCAGCAGACACACACATAGAGGCTCATCCTTCTGCAGAAGCATCTGAATTGAGTGATCCTTCTGAAGAAGAACTCAAAGAGGCTGACCCTTCTGCAGATGCAATTCCTGCTGCTTAAATGCATTCTAGACCTGAAGCTTCAGGAAAAAGTATAAAGAAAAATACACCTTATGTATCTGCAGTGAAGTTACATTACAACAAAAACTATGAGTACACTAAAGGAAGACATTCACAGTCAATTTATACATTCCTGCTACTTGTAATGATAAGCCACAGTGTATAGTATATGCTATATACAAATAAATAAAGTTTTTTTCTATTAATATGTAGTGTTGACAATAAATGCAGCATAATCTATACCAAGAAACAATATCCTGACACTCTTCTGTATTTAACAATTCTCCATCACAAAACAACATGACAGCCTGGATTTTTCAGTATTTGGGGCTATATGGTCGATAAACTCTACAACACCAAGTTCAGTCTGTCACTGTGGTCCATTCAATTTCCCACATAGTGCACACAGTTATTTCTTTACAAGAAAATGCAAGTGATTTTGTATGCTAACAAAGCTACTCTCATCTAACACAATAATCTAGGTATTCAAAAAGTGTTCTTCCATGTCATCTGTATGTGTACATGGAATGGAGTTTGGGTAAATTTCAAATATAAATCACTCCGTCCAATGTGACCTGTAAGTTTATTACTACATGAAAAACTTAACACCCTTACATGTTTTGGTCTCTGCGGAACATCTTCAGAGGGCAAACATCACTACAAATAGGAAACCACCTTCACATAAGTTGTTTAGACGTAAAGTACATACACTTATATGTTACAATGCATAGTACACAAAATAGAACATTTCACAAACACAGCAGTTTCCTGGGAATGTAAAGCTTTTAAAAATTATTTAAAATTTCTTGATGCTAATTAAAAGTTTTGCATTGTCAATAATTAAAATTCATAAACCATGCAGGCTTGTGTTCGTCCTCCCATCGTCCCTCTTGTATGGGGCAGATATTGTGCCACCTGTCTATCTTGCTGTCTATCTTACATTCCCAGGAAACTGCTGTGTTTGTGAAATGTTCTATTTTGTGTAGTATGCATTGTAACATACTATAAGTGTACGTACTTTACGTCTAAACAACTTATGTGAAGGTGGTTTCCTATTTGTAGTGATGTTTGCCCTCTGAAGATGTTCCGCAGAGACCGAAACATGTAAGGGTGTTAAGTTTTTCATGTAGTAATAAACTTACAGGTCACATTGGACGGAGTGATTTATATTTGTAATTGTTAGTGTGATGGACCAGAATGAAACAAATCAAATTTTGGGTAAATTTATTTAAAGTATTTGTCTCCTACATGAATTCTGTGCTTCTCTTTACGAAGAGGCATAACAGCATTCCAAGAAAACATGGTACTGTTAAATCGAAATTGAATTTTGATGAGAAGGCCTCATGCAAAATAATGATATAACAAACCAAGATCATTCATGGAATCTTCAGAACTTTAAATAATTCTTATAAATTTAACTTCCATGCTTTCAGATAGAAAGCTGACTTCATGATGTTTAAGACAATTACTTAGTTTTCTTAAAATGACAGTTGTATGCTATTATGTTCATTTGAGTCCATGTCAATATCAGACAACTGCTTGTGGAGTCAAGCTAATGGAAACCAGCTCTCATGATCCACATTCAATTCATCTGGCATCTATTAAGTTGAGGGTTGAGTCTTTGACATGGTGGAGGTTGGACATGATTCCAGAACTAGGATGGGAGTGGATACTGAAACCTATCATGCCACAATTGGTGGATTTCTGTTGGAAATTAAAGGGCAGAATGCTGTGATAAAGAAGGGATAGGAGAGCTCCTCATCCAAAGTTTGATTTATGGGATTAGAGTTGGTAGTGCTCTTAGTAATTCGTGGAGTGGAGACAAACCCTGGCCTGCAAGTTGAACAGGTGAAGACTGACCAGATTTTGGTGCATCCAACAAATCAGGGAAAAGGAACTGATGTTCTTGGGCCCAAATTCAAATGGCCGAATGAAATGGTAAATGATTAGGGCCAAATTAAGCATGCAGTTAGAGAATGTTAAATGATATCTAAGGAACTGAAAAATAAGCTGTGACAGGTGGATGAAGGAAAAAGGAAAAGCAATATAATAATGTTTGGATTGCAAGGGAATAGAGAAGAAAGTTACTTTGAACCCTGTATATAGTGGTCAAGTGTCTGAGTGAATCAATGGAAGTAGAGGCAAGTAGTGAGAGTATCGACTATGTATCTAGGTTGCTAAGAAGAGGGGAGCATCCAACATTGGTTAAATCCACTTCATTTTCAAAGAAAACAGAAGCGCTGAAAAATACTATAGAAACTTAGCCAGTTCTGAAGTTAGAGTGGATGAAGAGTATTCCACAGAGAGAGAACGATAATGGGATGATCCCCTACCTATGAAGCAGTTCTGGGATGAACTAAGTGCCCACTCTGCTTTCAGCCCAGCCCAGTAAACTGCTGCTGGCCCTCACCAGCACATCCTTTGTTTCAGGCCCCATGACCTAATTTCTGTTCATTCCAAGGCCGTTTATGTGTTTGGTAATGGGATCTCCTGTTTGATGAGAGAAGGGTTTGTCTGATTACGCGCCACATTTGTTGCATTGTAATTTTACATGAGTGTACTTGCAGTCACACAGTGTCCTGGTAAGGACGCTTGTACTTTATGGACAACATACACGCTTTGTAATTTTACCATAATAAATAATACTGATGCAAGATTGTAAATGCAGGTTATGCTCAACTTATTTTACCAGTCCAAAACTTGAACAATCATAGGCCTAACCATTGTCAAGTTTAAGTCTCTTATGCTTCCTATGCATGGCTTCTCCTTGTCCAATTGCATGTACATTTTGATTCAGATGATTCTGGATGATTTCTGTCTGTTTCCTGCATAACTGTGTCATGTAATTATACATGTGAGGGATTTTGAAAGCCACGTCCATTTAGTGGACTAGTGTGCACCAGCCACATTTGCCAATAGCGCGGAAAACTCGATTCTCTGTATGGTCAAGCTGTGAAGCCATCTGTGATGATTACCAGTCATTTCTTAAGCACCTAAACATGAAGCACACTTCAGACAACAGATCTATTGCACAAGAAAGGGCAGAGATACAAGTGGTACCTCAACTGGCCCTTCAACTGCAAAAGTAGAGACACCAACTGCAAGTGATGATGCATCATTTACACATGCCAAAGAGCAACCTCCTCCTGAGCCTCCAAAATCAGAAACTACAATAGAAACACGCAACTTAAATCCTTCATATCAGTCTTCAAATGGCACCTTATCACTATGAGGCCTGTCAGACCAAATTGAGCTTGTCTTCAGTTCTCATGAGCCAACCACCATAAAGCCTGGCGACATCTTAAGCCAAGTTGCATCAGTAACCATGTCAGCTCTGGTCTCTGCAGTGCTGTCACCTACATTACAGCCACTGACAACGAACATGGGGAGATGAATTAGAAGGTGGATCAGTGACAAGTTGGCTTTATCTCTTGCAAGTGAAGCTCTTGAACAAACTCTATTAAGGTGATGAATTGCATTCAGAGTGGTAGTAGATATAACTGAATAAATTTGAATTAACAGCGAGTTATATAAGACTGTAGATGTGAGGCTTCTATCTACTTATGCATCCAATCACTGAATCGCCAGATAAACAGTTCACATTCAACGAGATTTACAACTGGTTCCAAAACACTTTATTATTTTTGTCGAAAGACAGCAACATGGAAGAATACAGTGCGGCACAACCTCTCTCTCCACAATTGCATCATAAGGGTGGAGACTGTGGAAGACACAGGATGGGTGCTGTATGTAGCAGAATTTTACTAGCACTAGCCCCAACGGTGCTCCACTGGGGGAATGCAATCCGAAAGCCCCACCTTGGCACACGGCCCCATGTTATATGGAGATGCACTGAATGGCAGCTTACAGGTTGCATTTGATGAGTGCAACATAGGGTTCTCAAGACTTCTATGAGCACCTTCCCGATAATCAGTCCGAAAAAGGTAACATATCCACCTACAGAGCACGGATCATCAACTGAAGGAGCCATGATGCAGATCAAACAAGAAGCTGTACCACTTCTGCCCCCATTTTCTGTCAATGTTGAGTTTCACCCATTTTCTTCTTTGCTGACATTGCCTTCCCATGACAGGTGTAAGCCGACATAACCATAGAAACTGTTGCTCTCAATACACCTAATAATGTGCAGTTTCTATCACAGATGAGCTAGCTAAAAGTGCACCAACGATCAACAAAGGGGAAAGTATGCATATTAGGACTCATGATTCTACTAAGCATGGGACCAGCCATCATCATAACTGGTTGACAAGGGAGTATGAAGAAATGTTATGAAGGAAAAACTGTACATCTATGATAGATATGATATTCATAAATGCTTGGCCATTTTGAGCTTCAGTTCTGTGTTTACAAGCGTCATGAGAATGCACAACACATGCTTCAGAAATACATTAATATATTTACAAAACAGAATGATTCTGCAGAATTTTACACCATCTGAACCAATATTTATAAAAGTGTCAATGCAGGGTGTCATGCAGCTGAGAAGATAATGAAATATTTTGGATGCAGCATATATAAGCAAGTATGGAAAACCATTTGGTTCAGTGTGGTATCATAAGTCTTCAGAGACAAAGCAATATCTGGTATTCTGAAGAAGGAACACTGTAGCTAAAAAATGGCGAAGTTTGTGGTAAGCATACATGTGTAATAACAAAACTGTTCTTTACTATAGCGTTTTTAGCTAAAGATAATTATATTTGCTTATATTATATGAGTATACAGTACAGACAACCCTATGACTCTGCATACAAGTATAATACTTCCCAAATCAGTGTAGGCAATTCCAATAGCTGTACATAAAAGTAAAGTACTTTTTATGTCAGTACAGACATTTCCTGTAAGTCTACATTCAAGCACAATATGTGTAATTGTAAATATTTTAACATATTAAGACAGTCACTGTAGTTGTTAAAAACTTCAGATTTTATATCCATTGTATTTTATCAACATTATATGTATATATTTTAACCTTCAAAAGCATATTGTAATAGTAGCTTCCAACTGTATGGATGTCCCCCTGAGGATGGTCTGTAAAGACCGAAACATGTAAGGGAGGAAGGACTGAAATTAGAAAAATCTTTACTAGTCACACTGGACGGAACTGTTTAACCTCTTATGGTAATGCCAATAGCTCTTCATCCACATCAGTATGAGTATAGAGTCACCATAGCTGTACAATTAAATGTAACACTTTTAAACCCAGTATACATCACAATGTCCATCTGTTATGGTTTTTTCTGAGTGTGGCCTCAGACAAGGATAATTTTCTGTAACAAAATATTCTTAGATAGGAGAAGTATACAGGAAACATCAAACACACAAAAAAATCTCATTTAATAAATCAAGTAAATAATCCTTAGGGAACTGTATTAGAATATCTGCCTTCAATGAAAGGAAATCTCACCCTATTAGTTCACAATTTTATCAGAAACAAATTTATGTCTATTCTTTATGCATGATACTGGGTGAAATAAGATAAAGCATTAAGTACATGGTGTTTCACATCTTTTTCTTCGGTTATGTGGCGTAGAAGAATATTCAAATATCAAATATGTTCTTCAATACGGTGGGAGCATTGAAACAGGTAGGGTAAGTATACCTAATATTCATGAAAAGGGAAATGGGGCTATATACGTCAATTCAAGATTGCTAAATTTTGTGTGAGAAAGGTGGCCTTCACACTCTGGTTTAACCTTGTATCTATAATTTTGTGGGGGCACGCGGTAGCGTAGTGGTTGAGGTGCTACGCTACAAGCCAGAAGGTCGCGGGTTCAAGTCCCGATGAGGTCATTGGATTTTTTTCAGTTGACCTAATCCTTCCAGCCACACTAGGCCCTGGGGTTTACTCAGCCTCTAACAGAAATGAGTACCAGGAATTAATTAAATAATTTTCCTGGGGAGTAAAGCGCGGCCAGTGCGTAAGGCTGACAACCTTACCACCATATTTGAGCCGATTGTCTAGATAATGTGGGACCCTCAACGTCTCACAACCCAATGGACCTTCACGGTCTAGTATGGGGATAGCTTTACTTTTTTTATCTATAATTTTATAACTCTCCTTCTTATGAAGATGCGCAACTTGTGAAATTTGCTTACAGGCATAGAAAAGAATGAAATAATGTTTCTAATGAAGCAGCAATACTGATGCCGCTGTAGGGCATTGTTACAAGGAACTACTCCAGAGAGAACAAAACTCTTGTACACAACACATCAAATAGGTCAAATACATGCAATGTCATACCAAAAAGGTCACATTACCAGAAATAGATTTTGTTTTGTATAGGATTTGATAAGAGTTTCCAATGGTTTTGTAGAGCTGCATTTTGTTCGTGGTTCTTAGAAATAAAGATGGAGATGTTACTGTCATAAGCAAATGTTTTCATTATTTTATATCATTATTACATTATATTTATATTTGATTCACAATGTGTATTGGTCTAGATAGGCCACCATCAGGTGATAGATGAGAAAAATGTGAAAGTTTGTCAGTTAAACAAGGTCACATCAGATTTAATACCACATACACATTACATTTTTAAAATTTAAATAGATACATACACTTATTTATTACATTTTATTTTGTTAAAAATAGAATAAAACTGATGAAACATAAAACAATAATTTCTGGTTTTTGTGCATCTTCTTGTCATACAACTCAATACATACTGTACAATTTACTGTTTTCATCCAAGGGCCAAAATGTTGCAACACCATTATTATATTGTCTGGACAGTGCACTCATGGGGAAAAGAAATTTGCTGAGAGTCCACAAGTAATAGTCAAAACTCCTTCTTCCTGGTCCAGTGGTTCTAGGTTCAAATTATGGCCAGCAGAACACCTAATCTTAGAGAATGTGTTTATGATGTTCCTGAATACGACTCCTGGCAAATACTGAACATGAATATGGGATAAGCCACAACCTGCTTGTCTCCAACCCAACATTCAAGATTCCTAAATGTCAACTTATTTATTTTTTAGTTGAAAAAAATGTTAAATACTACAAGCATCAAAACCAGTTTCACTCCTAAAATTATTTCCCTAACAATCTCATAGAATTCTCATACAGTATTCTTCTGCATACAGTTAAGGGAAGAGCCTGGATAGTGCAGTCAGTATAGAGACTGGCTATGGGCTGGATGACCGAGGGGTCAGATTTCAAGCCCAAGTAGGGACAAGAATTTTCACTTCTCCATGTTGTCCAGATGCACTCTGGGACCCACCCAGCCTCCAATCAATGGGTACAAGGGGCTCTTTCCCCAGGAGTAAAGCATCTGGGGTGTGAAACTGACCAATCATGTCTATACATCCACTCCACCATACTTCCTCATGGTGTAGTGCTTAATAAGTTAAGCACAGGGAAATCTTTACCTTTTACCTTATACAGTTTAGGGTCTACTGAAGTGCATCATGTCTAAAACAAAATTTTGTTACTGAAAACTATTTTTGTCTGAGATACCGCCCTCAAAGCAATATAACAGGTTGGTATAACTAAGTACACAGATGGGGAAAGAAATGTACCTGGGCATGCAGACCCATCTTAAATCAGCAACTAATATACTGTCATCATTTAGTTAGCAGACATGGGGTTTGGATTGGTAACTGGATTAACTGAACACCTATAAATCGTAACTGCAAGTAATTATAATGATCTCACTCAGCTATTCACTAGAGCACACATTAAGTGTTCTCAGTTTGGCTTCACNCACTCTCACACTGAGATGGTACCGTTAAATAACCTGGGGCGGTGTATTTGTCCTTGAAACTTTCCAAAAATTCTTGCATTCTTTCACCCCCACCCTAGAACATTGTGTTCGCATAACGGGACGAAATAATGCAGAGCTCGGTTCACACTAGTGCGAAAATAGTGTTAAACTCACCATGTGAAACAAAAGTGAATGAATATTAAACAACATATAAACTTAAAAAAAAAGCCCCGGTTAAGCCGCAAACCGGTTAATCCGCCCCCGGATAATCGAGAGTTGACTAGTTTATGGCTCCCAACAACATAAATTCCTAAGCTCCTGTGTTCACAGCTTACTGCCTGACAACTGTCTCACAGCTAACCTGTTGTTCCAATTATTGACTCTCAACTTATGACTTTCTGTCGAGTCACTCTATGAGTGGCAATTTAGCGCCATTCAGTTCGTCTTGGTGATAAGCCCCTTGAGACTCATGACCAGCATTTCGTTTTTCAATTGAACACTTGCAGTCATAGTCCTTATGTAACATCCTCCCTGAGAAGAGGATGGGTATGTCATTTATAATTGTTGCTAGTCCTCGCCAGCACAGTTATTCTCAGGTCTGAGTCCACAGAACTCATGACCACATTTTACTGTTTCATATGCAAGACTCCCCCAACTTTGAGGGCCAGGTACCTGTATATATAGATCTGCTAGGAATGGGATGACCCAGTTATACCCCCAGGCACTAGGTTCCCTTTTCTGTCAGAGTCAGTGCCACTGAGTCAGGGTTACTTTACAACAGGCTGTTTACAGTCAATCAGTTCATCTGGGTGACAAGCCTCTTGAGACAAGTAATTTTATTTCCCAACTGAATATTTACGGTTATAGTCTTTCTGTAACATCCTGTCTCATGAGGATGGGTCTGTCATTTACAATTGCCACTGGTTCTCGCCAGCACAGTAATTCCCAAGGGACTCATGACCACATTTTACTGTCTCAAGTTCAAGACTCCCCAACCTGGAGATCCAAGTCTCTGTATTTATATCGCTCCAGAAAAGGGTGGCCAGGTTATACCCTCAGATACTGGGTTCCATTCTGTCGCCTCCTACGACTCGCAAGGCTTCGATAAAGGTATTCCACCCCACCTTCACACAGACTGATCCTGAACCTGCTCTCTCTGACTGTTGATGCAGCTGGTCTCCTCATTATACAACCTCAGCGTGGACAGCTCTCAACCACCCCCCCCCCATTCCAAGAATTCCTCCTTTTTTTTTCATAATTTAGTCATTGCTGCTAAAACATGTATGTTGACCCCTTACCTAGAAGTGGATGACTTCTTCTGGTTTTTACATGTCATGTCACAATATACAAGGTGGTTCAAATATGATCGGGACTAATTTTTTTTTAAAAACCATAATTGCCAAACACTTACTTGCACATGTCAGTCTTCAGCATAGTCCCCTCCGGAGTCAACATATTTTTTTTCCAACGTTCTGGAAGCATCCTAATGCCCTTTTCAAAAAAGGTTTGTGGTTGGCGGTGTATCCACTCCCGGACAGTCCGAACAGTCTGGATGACGGCATCATTGTCCACAAACCGCATGCCTTGCAACTCTGATTTGAACCTTCCTAACAGGTAGAAATCACTTGGGGCCAAATCGGGACTCTACGGCGGATGCGTCAGAAGGTTCCATTTCAATTTCTGGAGGGTTTCCATTGTTGTTTTGGTCGTACGGGGGCGTGCATTGTCTTCAAGGAAGGCTACCCGCTTTCCACCTGTCTTCCGCTTGGATTGATCTTTTCCTTCACATCTGTTGCAAGGAGGTCTGAGTAATAAGCTGCACTGACTGTTCTGGCATCTGTCAGAAAGTCTATATGGATAACCCCCTGCCAGTCCCAGAACGTTGCCATCACTTTTCATGCCAAACGGCTCCTCCGTGCTCTCTTGGGTTTGGGAGAACTGGTATGCCGCCACTCGTGTGATGACTGCTGGGACTCAGGAATAAAGTAGTGCACCCATGTTTCATCGGTGGTCACTCTAGACTTCAAAAATGCATCACCTTCATCTTCAAACTGCTGTAGGAGACGACTGGCAGCTTGCATGTGCACCATTTTGTTCACATCCGTCAAAGTGTGTGTTACCCACTGTGCATTCACCTTGCGATAGTGCAGGTGGTATTTTACGATGTCTTTTACACTACCAACACTGATGGCCAGCATTGCTCCAAGTTCCTTGATAGTGATGCCCCTATTCTCACAAATAAGCGCGTCTGCACGATCAATGTTTGGCTTGGTGACGGATGTTCGCAGCCGACGATCATGCGGTTCATTCTCCACGCGCTCTCTGCCCTCTCTGAAGCACTTACACCACTCAAACACACAGGTCCTTGAGAGACACTCTTCCCCATACTGTTGTTGGAGTCTGTGGTGAATTTCAGCGGATGGGATGTTTTCTCCAACGAGGAATTTGATCACAATGCATTATTCCACACTCCGCGGTACCTTCTATTAGCTCATCACTCTAGCAACTCCCAGAGGGGACTGTACAGGTTCTAACCTGAAAAGGAGGGAGGGTAAAGCTTGTGGCTTCACTCTCTCAAGATCGCACAGCTGCTGTGCAGTGCAGCTTGTTTACACACAAATCAGTCCTGGTCATACTTGAACCACCTTGTATAAAACTGTATCGCGTGGATTATCATCAACATACCAAACCAATGAATGTTAATACAAACCAGTGATATAGCTCCCTTCAGAAGTATATTTCAAATAACTACAGGGACATACAAAAAGCAGTCAAATCTACTGATTGCAGGAAAGATACACTTCTCTATATGAACCTGATTAGCAAGCGAACAAACTTTATGTATAAAGAATAACATCATGGTAACATATGAACATTGAGTGATTCTTTTTACTAATGTGTGTATTTCTGTTCCTTAAGGCATAAGGCTTTCCTAGTGGAAGCTACTAAGAAGCTTGATTCTTTGTGATCAATTTTATGCATATGGAACAATACTACCCAGTAACCATAAACACTCAGAAAAGAGACCAGCCCTTACAAGGAATTAATTTAGGAGAGGAAGAGTATAGCACTCAAGTTCCTGCAATATTAATAATCCCTAATTACATTCATACTTATTTTGTGTCTTACAGATTGCTCTGATGGCCACACTTGCTGTCTGCAGTGCCTACCCCGATCCATTATCTCTTGGGGATCTCTTTCAAAAGCAAAGCAGTTCTGCAAAGGCTCTTGGGAATCTCTTTCAAAAGGAAAGCAGTCCTGCAAACGCTCTCAAAGAACTGCTTGAAGATCTCTCAGAAAAAAGTGGTTTATTCAAAATACCCATTCCTACTCCAATCATTTTTCCTTTCCCAGTCATAGAAAAGCCCACTAAAGATGAACCTGCTGCAGATGCACCAGTAGAGTCTGAATCCCCTGCAGCTGATGAACCTGCTGCAGATGCACCAGCAGAGTCAGAATCCCCTGCAGCTGATGAACCTGCTGAAGATGCACCAGCAGAGTCAGAATCCCCTGCAGCTGACGAACCTGCTGCAGATGCACCAGCAGAGTCTGAATCCCCTGCAGCTGATGAACCTGCTGCAGATGAACCAGCAGAGTCTGAATCCCCTGCAGCTGATGAACCTGCTGCAGATGAACCAGCAGAGTCTGAATCCCCTGCAGCTGATGAACCTGCTGCAGATGAACCAGCAGAGTCTGAATCCCCTGCAGCTGATGAACCTGCTGCAGATGAACCAGCAGAGTCTGAATCCCCTGCAGCTGATGAACCTGCTGCAGATGAACCGGCAGAGTCTGAATCCCCTGCAGCTGATGAACCTGCTGCAGATGAACCAGCAGAGTCTGAATCCCCTGCAGCTGATGAACCTGCAGAGTCTGAATCCCCTGCAGCTGATGAGCCTGCTGCAGATGCACCAGCAGAGTCTGAATCCCCCGCAGCCGATGAGCCCGCTGCAGATGCACCAGTAGAGTCTGAATCCCCTGCAGCTGATGAGCCTGCTGCAGATGCACCAGCAGAGTCTGAATCCCCCGCAGCTGATGCACCAGCAGAGTCTGAATCCCCCGTAGCTGATGAACCTGCTGCAGATGCCCCCGCAGAGGACGAACCTTCAGTAGTCAGTGTGAAGAGGAGTCAACTTCATGGATAAACAGATAATTATAGCATCAGTCAACAGTACATTTAACAAAGTTTGTACTGCAGTCCATTTATAAATTCAGCTTCTATTTTTAGCAATGAGCTGAACTGTATACTTGATGCTGTATATAAAAATAAACACTGTTCCTATTAATATGTGGTGTTAATATATGAAGTGAAACCTATACTCATAATCAAATTTCTCATACTTCCTTCCACACTCAACAACCTACATCACAAAACACTACAAACTGGATTCTTTACTATTTAACTGTGAACTGCATGCCAGAAGTTTGATTAGAGATAGACACATCAGGAATTCTTCTGTTCACCATAATGTTCACACTGTCCTTGTGGTCAATTTAGATTCATATACAGTAAACACAGTACACCTTAGTGGGTAAACAGAGCCGATGTCAGAAGATGACATGGCCCCTGTCATCTAATAAAAAGATCTGAGGAAGAAGGAAATGGCTTTCATGTCAAGTCACCTAAATGTCTAGTTGGTACGGAATTTTGGAAAATGGAGATTTTTACATTTTATATTAATATTATTGCGTGTTTGCTAGGCAACATGACATGTAAGTGTGTCGGTTCTCGAATTTGAACAAATTCCTTTATTGGACAGCCACACTTACACTCACACTTACAATTATTCAACTTATAGCATCGTCAGATGTTTCTTCTTCAACGTTACAACACTTCTGCTCTGGTCGGATAAGAACTCTTCTGTTCCAGTTGGATAAGACCTCTCTCTTGCTCAAGTCAAATACAAACTGTACTAGTTTCTTGTCAGATATCAACTCTTTCCATTATTTTCTTGAGTTCCTCTAGGTTGGCCTTCCTTTCATTTCAGTCAGCTTTCATGTCTTCTCGCATGGCCAGCAGTAATTCCATCGTCTACTGTGACTCCATTCTGTAGCAGTATAATCCTTGATGTGATCCAATAATTTGTCCAAGCCAATTCCACTTCTACACCAGTTCACGCATGTTTCCTAGGTAATGCGAAAAGAAATTTATGTGGGTCTCGGATTTGAATGAATATTTTTATTGAGCACTCAGTCTTATACTTGCAGATACACTTATTTTAAACTAATAACGTCGTCAGATATTTCCTCTTCACTATTACAATTTCTTGAACCGCTGATCTTGGTGAAGTGTCTTCTGCTCCGAGCTCAACTGTCCTTAGCTCTTGTCAGATACGAAACTCTCCTGTTCTAGGCGGATAAGAACTCTTCTCTGGTCCATTGTCAGATACAAACTCTGCTGGTCTCTGGCCAGCGTTGCAATGTTATACCTTGCACTCCGAATCAATAGGGAATACCTTGTCGAAGGGTTAATTTCTCCCTCTGTTACACAATGAACATGGGAATGTGTGTCTGCCTCAAACAATTCGTTTGTATTGGTGGATACCCCACTGTTATATTTTCATTTCTGGGGCAACGATTTCCTAGGCTTCACTGCCTAGGAATTGCTAGCCGTTAACTAGTGATGGACGCCTTATAGTCCAGCTTTCAGGCAATACATCACTATATACAAATTTTGCATTGTTTACAAGTGAGAGAATATGAAAATGAAATATTATTAGTAAACGTATAAATATATTGGCATGGAAACCTCTGGGGGGGGGGGATATAGGAAGTCAAGATGGATACAGAACATTCAGACATTCTGGAAGAAATCTGTCTCCTTGTTGTTATACAAAGAGCTTATTGCACAATGATTATGATACTCTGTGGTCATAAGCTTGATCAACCTCATCCCTGTAGTAGGATTCATACCTCCTGACATTTTGTGAGAACCAACAGGAAGCTGCGGTGGCTTTCCGAAGATGTGTTTAGTAGCATCAGTGTTAGAACATTGATTGTAGAATGGACTACATAGGAATAGAACTAACCTATATCATAAGAATAAATTAACAAAATATGAACTGAACCTTTACATGAATTTTTCTTTTCTAAGAGCAAGTGTTACATTTTAGATGGCAGGGAATCAGTTTTATCATAATATTTGAGAACAGTTCAGTGTAAAACATGTTTTTGGAAGTTGTCTAGGTTTGTCGCTCTTTTTGGAATGTTTATGTTTTTGGTTGACAGACATAACTTCTCAGAACCCTCTTCTTTCCCTCCCTGCATACGTGTGGGACAGTAAACACACTTCGTCTGTCAGGTCATGACATTTAGAGAAATTCAGTCCACTTCGTTTTTATTCAGCCATATATTTTTTAAAGAAATTACACGCATCAGAAACTATTTTTCAGACGTTGCTACCGTAACCTCTGGAACTACCACTACCACTTGCACTTGGCTTAATAAGCAACATGTTGTACTCAGACACTATGAATCAGAAACTATAGCATAGAAAATAACTGATGTATATTTTGTTATACACTGAAGTCTACTAAAACACTAAAATTCATAACACAAAAACTCACAGTACTTGTCCTGACCTGAGAAGAAAACGACAGAGCTCAAACATGCCAGTTGTATCTTGGGTGAAAGGCAAACTAAGTTCCATTCTTCCTTGGTATTGGGTTCCTTATTTATATTATTGAGACCAATTAGTGTAACGTAATAGTGCTGGCACATTTTAAAACTACATAGATTGCTTAGAAAGCTAGAAACAAATGAATGAGCTTTCTCAAAAGTATGCTTTATAAAATATAAAATCAATCTTAGTCTGTATCCTGAACATACTGTCGAAGAAATGGTATCAAAATCGCAACTCTCTGAGATAAATATAAGCAGTGATTACAAGAAAAATTTCAAAAGGCCTAAAATGCTGTTCACTTGGGCTAAAAACAAGGGGTATGCTTCTACACATTCAGAAAAATGTGTCCATCTAGTATGGTATCATCAATAATATCATTTTTTCTGCAGAAAGTATGAAATAACTGATGCAACACAGGTACACACACAAGAAAATATGTCCATCATATACTGACATCCAATATGGAGTAAAATGTTCAGCATCAATAATACATCAACAAATATCAGGAAATGATTAATTTTTGCTACAATGATGTGTCTGTTCACATGAACACAAGTCAATTCATATGATTATCCATTAAATAACTGTGAAGCTGGGCTTTGCATAATTGCCTGTTATGATGCACATTCAATTTGTCTGGTTCTTTACTCTCCTAAAGCAATCTCTGGGGTCCATTAGTGTATGCCTGCTACTACAAGCAATGTTCAGAAAAAAAAAAGTCGCTAGTGTACTTGCAATGGTGCCTGTCACCTCAGTAGTCCTACAGATTAATTACAACATATCAAAGAAGCAGAAGCCCATTTCTGTTCTCACCAGATGGTTGCTTCCTTTTCAGTATCACAATATACATGGTCAAAACTTTCAAGAAATATCTCTCTAACATTCTATCTTCTAACATTATAACAATAAAAAAGAGACTGGAAATGATGATTCAAATGGCATCCAAAAAGTCTACTGCAAAACCTGTGCTTCGCTTGAACAGTTTTCGCTACCATACGTATTGGCAAGGGTAACAATTAGACTTTGGTTGTTCTCTGCTGGGGCCTGCCAGGAAACAGGAGACCGTCAGAAACCCATAGAAGAGTTATGTCATGTGCTGTTTCAATAGTCATTTAGAAGGAGGGACATGACTCATCAAAGCAGAATAACAGCAGCATATGAGAACATGTCATTATTTGCTACTTCTACATTAGTTTCAGAATTATTACAGACACATGGGTTAACAGCTATCATCATTAAACCAGTGATGAAATTATTACTAGTGTTAACAGAGGGGTTAAAACACTGGAGCAGTGATCCTCTAAACAGCGAAAGTGATGAGAACAAAGAAAATGGATTTTCATTTCATGCATCCTGTTGTGTTACAATATACAACCTCTTTATTAACCGTCACAACACAACAAATAGCAAAGTCAACGCCCAGCTACGGTTCTGCTACAGCTATTGATAGCCGAAACATGTAGCAGAGCCGTGGCTGGGCACTGACATTGATATTTGTTGTGTCGTGACAGTTAATAAAGAGGTTGTAAAGAAAATGGAGTTTTAAGCCATATCTAATATGTAAATAAATTTAACTTTTCTATGGGTTTCTTGCTGGCTCCTGTTTTGTGCCAGGCTCCAGGTGGGAACAACCAAAGTTTAATTGTTACTATATGTTTCTTTGGAGCTCATGGTCCAGACAATATAATAATGGTGTTGCAACATTTTGGTCTTTGGATGAAAACAGTAAATTGTATAGTATATTACCTGAGTGGTATGACAGGAAGATACACAAAAATAAAAAATGATTTTTCTTTTATGTTTTTTATCATTTTTATTACATTTTTAACAACATATAATGTAATACATGCATATCTATTTTAAATTCAAAAATGTAATGCGTATGTGGTATTAAATCTGATGTGACCTTATTTAACTGACAAACATTCACATTTTTCTCATGTATCACCTGATGGTGGCATAAAAACCAAAAATTATTCCTCTTTTATGTTTCATCAGTTGTATTCTATTTTTAACAGCATAAAATTTAACCTTTAAGAGATGGGCCATTTAAATTCCGGTAATGGCAGCAGGCCAGAGTTAATTTAAATGCCCACCATTGTAGAGTATTACAAATTGTAAGCATGTTACTGAAAATGCTGTGATTTCTACAATTTTTGTGATTAACGAACGATATGAACGCTGATTTTATCTAGAAAGAATATAGTATCAGATATTGTAATTTACAGATTTTAAAATCTGTAAAAATTGTTACACTGATTCCAAAAATTTTTTTTTCCCAATTTCGAGCATCTGTCCACAAATATGCATACAGTTTCTGCAGTATAAATGCATGCTGCTCACATCCCATCTTACTATGTCTTATCTGGCAAAAGGGGTGGAAGTTCATGTTTGTACTGCACATTCTCCAGTCACGTCGGAACCTTTCTGTATGCACGAGTGTGGTCGAAGTGTTATCGTACTTTGTCCTTCAGAAACTCTGACTGTGTATATCTCAGACTAGCCACACAGAGGTACTGTTCTCGGAATAACCCCGCATAGCCCCCTTGCTTCCTCGCCACTTTCAGAGTTGTCTGTACCACAGCTTGAATCAGTGTCATTCATACAAGCTGGAAAAACATACCTTCATCCCATGTTTGCCCCACGCACACTCAAGCATGGGAAGCGTATTATCAGCTGCCTCTCAATTTCGGCTTCTTCCATGCGAAATGAGGCCATGGTGGATAGTTGAAATTGCGATGTTTTATAAGCGTTATGATTAGAGGAGGCCGACTTCCTCTAGTACGAGACTGAGGTGTTGTGTGTGCTCTTCGTGTGGGAAATGGAGTTACATCCGGACAAAGTGCATGAATTTCAACGTTGGACTCTGCATTCAGTTAGATGCAACATTCAGTTCGATGACGCAGGAGGGAAGACTGTCTACTTATAAAGCAGGCGCCCAAAAATAATATAAGTAGAACAAGAATTTCTATCTTAAAATTAGATTTTAAAACACTGTGCCCATGTGTGGACTGCGCATACCCATATGGTGTCACTCGGCCACTCGGCTACACTTTAAAGGTCTCCATACAATGTTGCTAGGCTCTTAAAGGTTAATACATGTTTATCTATTTCAATTTTAGAAATGTAATGTGTATGTGGTATTAAATCTGATGTGACCTTGTTTAACCAACTGACTTTCATATTTACACTAACTTCATAGTTTAACAGAGATCTGCAACAGACAGCATAGCATTCCTCAAGCATTCCCCGAGAATGTGGCACAAGCTACATTAGTGAAACAGGCATACCTCTAGCTGTGCAGCTCTGTGAAAATAGGCACAATCTCAAAGAGGGTCTTCCAGAAAAAACTAAAATTAGCCTAACATGCCTATGAACAGGATCATAGGGAAGCTAGGATTTTGGAAATTGAAAGCAACAGCAATTAGAGGAAATACAAGGAATCTGCCTATGTGGCATGCTTAACCAATCCAATCAGCCAACCCAGTTTGCACATTTCTCCCACCTGGATACCTCTCATCAGCAATAAGATTACGAACTCAAAGAGAAGATCAGTATGATGACAGATTCTTCATGGGTTTCTATAAGGTTTTAGTCACGAGTGTTCAATTTTCACTACACAGATGGTGCTAGCGGTAGATACAAAATGGTTTCACAAATTCTCCATTTAAACCTATTCATTGGCTTTCATGGACTTGGTTAGTTGCAATAAATGTTCATCTCCCTATCTAACTTAGTTTCAGGTATTTATATAGCTGCAGTTATACTGACATGTGCTCCTGTGATTCAGGTCAGATCTTTCTAAGAGACCCAACAAGCAGGCTCCCATGAGGATGGAAACAGATCCCGTTTCCAAAACGCTGTTTTCTAACTTTTAGAATACCAGAGGATAGACAAAGCCCAGAACCCCAGTAAGAAATTCTGAGTGTTATACACCATCATCAGAACCCTTTCGTATCTATAATTAAGTATTTCTTTAAAAAATTAATGTTATTAAAATTTAATACTTACCACAGAACAGTAAAGATAACAGCTGTTCCTGTCTTCTTTCTTCAAACTGAGTGTTGCTATATGAAATTAATGGAGCTTTTGGCATAATAATGCTTGAGAAGTATATTAATTAGGGATGGATACTTGGTGAATTAACTCTCAATATTCAAATAAACTGCAAATTTTGTGTAAATGTTACAAGATACCAAAAATTCTAAAACATTGTTCATCCTCTATGTAATTCAACAAACACTGACCACAGGTCTGAAAATGTAATAGACATGAAAAGTAATTTGGGTTGCAATAGCGTGTAGTTCAGAGGTAGTCTGACATTTCAGTGGAACAAACTGCCTCCATCTTCATGGTCAAAGGTTAAGGGGGGCTCAGCCTGTCTATTACAAAGTCATAAACAAAGATCATGAAACAAGTATCACCAATATATACTCACAAAAAATATTAATCATGTTAAGGAAACTTTTATGATATTTAAAGTCACAACATTCGTGGTTATGACAGTGAGAAATTCACGACAAGCACCACCAGAAATCAAAACTGAGTTTTGTAAGGAGCGAAACCTCAAACTTATACATGCCTATGCCACTGCTTCATCTGAGGTCAGTGGAAGGTCATGGGAAAGGGAAACCAATGTGACAAGAAGGGGAAGATAATGCAAGGTGACTCCATAAACAAGCCAAGACATAGTACTCAGTGAAACAACTACTGGACTGACGAGTAAATTCAGATAACATCTGACATACATTTCTCAGTCACTGAAACTTCATACGAATGAGTTGCTATCATATTCTGGAATGCAAACTTTCTCCTAATCAAGGATAGGAGAGCGGGAGTGGGTTAACAGACCTTTACAGATTGCTAGCCATAAACAACTTCAGAAACAAAGTTGTAAGTACAGTTGGTGCAAAACATGAAAGGAAAACAGTGACAGTTAAGAATTACTCATTATGGTTCTAGCAGTTTTTATCACTATAACCAAGTTCTCATTATAACCCTCACTCACTCCACTGCAGTTTCACTGTATGTGCTTACCTCCTGCCAGCGGTTGCGTCCACCGCAGGTAACAGACTGTCACTGCATTCAAAGTTGTCCAGCAGTGTACCACAGTATCCACTAATACAGCTGACCATATTTTCATCAGTTCCTTGTAATTTCTTCAATACTTCCTGCAGCCCCTCCAAACCATCAACAAGATTCTACAAACAAAATGGAGCTCAGAGTACGCTATTCCAAATTAGACTGAGAACATCTGAAATATCACAGCCAATATCTGGAATACAAAGTAATAATACAATGGGTTGTAGTTCCAGTAACTCTCATTAAAAAGGAGTATGAGTTCAGGTTAAATGTAATGTCCAGTGCCACTGCTCTTGCCACTATTTCCAGACTCCCTGAAGCTGATGCTACCTCTTCCATTGCTGCCACTTGACATCTGCCTCGTCACCACAATGGATACCAAAAACTCATCTTATGTCAGAAAAATACCACAACAAATAGATATGCTATACTAATACAGAGGGGGCATGCGGTAGCATAGTTGGTTTAGGCACTATGCTACACGCCGGAAGGTTGCGGATTCAAGTCCCGATGAGGTCATTGGATATTTTTAAACTGACCTAATCATTTCAGCAGCACTATGGCCCTGGGGTCGACTCAGCCTCTAACAGAAACGGGTACCAGGAATATTCTTGGAGGTAAAGGGTGGCTGGCACGTAAGGATGACAACCTTGCCACCACCTATGAGCCGATTGTCTAGAAAATGTGGGAACCTCAACATTTCACAACCCTATGGGCCTCCACGGCCTGTTATAGGGATACCTTTACTTTACTTTTTTATATTAATACAGAATGAAATGGTGACAACTGCTGGCAATTCATATTCAATTCACTTTAAAAATACAATGTATAATAATGTTACCTTGTCTGTTAATGAACACAAAGTCTGCCTGGCTTTCATTAAATCTTCATGTAGAAAAGAATGCTTCTGTTCAGCGTCAGCATCTTTATGGAAGAGTTCACTGCCAACAACACATACAAACTGTATTAACACAAACTGAAACTTGAATCCAAATGATTAGCATTTAAAACATACATAGGTATTGTGGAAAGGTAGAATAATATAAATAAAATCATGTTCTTCAAAGCACTTATGACAATGAAGCCTTGATGATAGAAGTGACCTTCCTTTACAACAGAATAAAATACATTCATGAATACACAGAAGCAAAGCCTGAAGATTGAGAACACATATATTTAAAATTAGTACACTAAATGAGACACAATTAACAGCTGATTTATTTATAGCATACAGTTATTCTGCTCCTATCTCTGTTCTAAGAAAATGTCCCAGCCATTTGAGCCAAGAGAATAACATTCAGCATTGGAGATATCAAACACAAAACTGTTATCCCCACGAATTTGGGATTCTATAAAGGTGTGTACGCTTTCTCAAAATATCGATGAGATGTAGAATGTCGTCTTCTGGGATGTGGTACCATGTAGATATTTGTTAACCTACGTTTCGGAGGAATGTATTGCCTGCTCACACCGGTTCATTGTTCGCAGATTTCTTACACCAAGAAGATGAAGGTGATACGTTCCTCCAAAACGTTGGTTAACAAAATATCTACATGGTACCACATCCTAGAAGACGGCATTCTTTAAAGTGACCACCGTGAAAACCTTAAATCTTACATATCAGTGAGATGTTACACATTCTGAATAGTAACATGACACATACAGAGATATAATAAGAAGTACATTTGTATGTCTTCTAGCAGTTACTTGTCAAATGTCACAAAATTCTGGATCCAATGTCTATCATTTTGACAGAAACTGAAAGGTATACATACAATGACGATTTCTGTCTTCCGAGATATAATGCCATGTAGTCCCATGAAAGTCAATCAACATTTTGAATGAATATCTCCATCTACAACGTTAAAGAGCAAGAAACCACTTAGAAGCAGGCAACAGTGCAGGTTTCTTACTTGACTTACTTTTCAACCCTGGAGATGTTCCTCTGATGTTATTTGAATTTTCACCAGATTACATGGCATTATATCCCAGAAAACAGAACACTGCACAACCACTGCTGCAAGAACCTTAAATCCAATATACATATGATGCTCCACTGTGGCAGCTCAGTCTGCAAGGTGGCCAATAATCTGGATGGTCAGTATGGACACTCTCCAAATACAAGTGTTACCATCTGAGTCAACTTGTTCATTTTGACATTTTTTTTTCGCTTAGTGGGGGGTGGAGTCCAACTGGGTCCACTCAGCATGGCGGCCACTGATTGGCCTATTATAGCCTGCCCCGGGTGATTATGATGATGGAGAATTTGGTGGAATGAAGATTGGCAGGGGAAACCGAAGTACTTGGAGAAAACCTGCCCCAGCGCCACTTTGTCCACCACAAATCCCACTTGATCAGACCCAGGATCAAACCCGGGCTGCAATGGTGGGAAGCCAGCGACTAACCGCTTGAGCTATGGTGCGGCCCTTTCATTTTGACATTACTTTTTCCTTATGCTTGCTTGTTGCACCAACTGCTCAGTGATTCCAGCATCCTGTGGGGTCAAATCTTTCAGTGACATCAGATATATAACACTTCCTTGTCCCAGTGGGAGTTCTGTGCAGAAGGTCATAATTATGTAAGAACACTGAGTACTATATGTAGGTAGTCCAACTTCACTGGATTTTGCCTGTGTAGCAGTTTTGATGTTTATGTCATAGTCATCAGCATCATCATCATGGATTAGGCCACACATGGTCTGTTTCATCCTCCTGAAGAGTATGCTGATCCTTCTATCTTAATTGTGGGCATCCAACGCTCCATTTTCTTTTTGGGCTTGTTAGAATTTTCTTCGGAATCCACCTCCCATTCGTTGCATGTGATATTTCCATTGTGATCTGGATTTTATAATTTTAGCATTTGGATTAAAGATGTTCAGCCCTTCATTAATTTCAGTATTTCTTATTTGGTCCTTCCTTGTGTAGCCTGCTACACTCTTCAAGAATGTTTACGTTCAGGTTGAAATGAGGCATTCAAGATCAAATTTGCATAAACTCATATATGAATTCATACTGTGACATGTCTACTCAAAGGCAGAATTGCACAATCAAAGAAGATGACCACTGTTATGTCCCATGGCTCTTCAAACACACTTCCACGGCAACCAAATCACGTGACTGCGGAAAAAGATACACATTCAACAATGGAGGAGCTGCTGTGGGCAGTGTTCTGTGTTGAGTCTGTGCCGAGGCTTTATCAGGAGAACCAAAACTGATGCATAGACGAGCTGGAAGCAAATGTTAACTAGACATGGCTAGGAATCAATGGCCATGAGGAACTATGAGACAGTTGGTAGACATTAAGGATGTGAACATGGAAGCTGAGGAATATATGCTGCTGGGAGCCGTTACCATGCAATGATTAGTGAAGACTTAATTAACCGTTAAGCGTGGTTTGACGTGTATGTTTCGTCAAGGTATTTGAATTGTCTGCGGGGGTTCGACGTCTATGTTTCGTCCAGCTGGACACCTATGTTATAACGCCCATATTAATTGATGGTTTTGCTGTAGATTGTTAGATTTTTCGCTGGCCTGTTGTCAGAAGAACAATATATAATGAAGCATGAGTTTAGCTGCGTTAAGTCATCGTTACATATGCCTGTCTTGCAGCAAATTCGTGTTGCTTCTGGTAGAAGTTTCCTCATTCAAACTGTTATGAATGGCGTGTTTTCTTTCCTATGAAGTTATAAACAGCAGAGACGTGATATGTGCTGTGTTTATAATATCATATTGCCCTGAGCTGGCCACACTAACACACTCAATTAGAATTCTTAGAAGAGGGATGTCCAAAAATTTATTCTTGCAAGATTGATTGATTTCGCACAGTACATAGCAGCCAGTTCTTAGAAAAACGTCACGAATTAAGGCAGAACACTGTGGTCACCCCCTGTGACGATACGGGTGTGTGTGGGGGAGGGAAAAGAACTCATTCCTTCATGTATTATCGCTCCAGTTGACTCCATTTTATCGTACTGACTTTGGTGGTCGTTTCGAGGGATGACCATAAATTTTTTTTGAGCCAGCTAAGCTCTGCTTTCGTGCACTACATACCAGCCAGTTCTTAGAATAACTTCATGAATTCTGTGGTCACCCCTACGACATCTGCTGCAGCCAAAATGGATGGAATATCAAACGCATAGCACCAACCCCTTGTTATGATAACTCGTAACGGTTGAATTTACTGCAGTTGACCTGGCAAGTTTATCAACTCACGGAAAGACATTTCCTAGTATTCCTCCTTTGGGAAGAAGGCAAGACCGCACAGAATATCTGTGGTTTACGGAAAAAAGGGCCAAATGAAAGATACGCAGTTTTGGTGTGGTGAATGTGAGACAGCGTTGTGTGTAGAAGAATGCTTCAATGCGTAACATACACTGCTCAAATTCTAAACCACCTGCTTCCATTGCCGAGATACTGGGCGCTCATATTATAAGGTAAGGTTATAAAAAACCATCTTTTAAGATCATTTTAGTGAAAGTTTCATGCTTCAAGGCATACCATACACTGCTCAAATTCTAAACGACCTGCTTCCATTGCCGAGATACCGGGCGCTCATATTATAAGGTAAGGTTATAAAACCACCTTTTAAGATCATTTTAGTGAAAGTTTCATGTTCCTATCTTATATAATTTAAGAACAATGATGAATAAATCATTTTCGAGCAAAATTTAAATGGTCGGCTGAATATATTACCGCCGGAGAGACACGGCAGCAGAATTTAAATGACCGTGCGAAAGGGTTAAGAATTAGTGTGTTCTGTAGTGAACTGCAAAGAGTGTAAACCAGTGAAATGGCCATAATTACTTGTAGCTGCATGTTTTTGAGTCCAATAAATCCAATTACTAATCCAAAACCTGTGTCTAGTCACCTAGAACGTGAAAATATATCAACTTAAAGTCATTAATAGTCCAGTACAGTGATATTGGGAGTGTGTGTTTTAGTGAGACTTTCATAGTTCCTGTGTTATAGATTTGTTGCCAGGAAATGGATAGTGAGACTAAGGGAAACAGACTGGGATCAGAGTGGAGTGATTTGTAGTGTGAAAATCAGTAATAGTGTTAAACTTATTTGTAGTCACACCTGTAAGTGGTCAATAAATCCAATCACCAATCTGAACCTCATCTATAGTCACTAATACATGTGATAATATGTACAGACATGAAACAATGCATATGATGATAAGATGTTAGTTCAGTACTGGAAATGTAAAGCCACAGGAAGACCCTGTGTACTGGTGTATAGTGAAATGGTGGGCTGAACAAGTCAACGTAATAATCTTAAGTGGGTTCTGACACTCGACATTAGCTGTACCAGAACACAATAAATTTTATAATATGATTTCACAATCACACTAAGAATAAAGAATTCTAACAATGAAACAGGAGGCTAAAGAATCAACATATAGCAGTGAACCAGAAGGTGATGGGGACACAGTTCTAAGCTAGGTGGTGCAGTTGCCTTCAAAAGTTTGTTGCACAAAATCTACTACTTTCCCTTACTTCAAAGTACAAAATTAGCTAAAATGTGAAAATAACCAAAATAATTGTAAAGAGCTGTAAAGAAGCGGCATATACAGAGACTCATTACTTAATAATTACATATATGGGGAAATGGGTTCATTGTTAATAAACCTAGTTATTAAGTTAATAGTTTTAAAATGTGTTACTACAATTTATTTTTTAACACTTTGTACTTCACAGCATTTTAAATTGCCATTTAATTCAGCCATGTGCAAATCCAAGGAATTTAAATCCCTGCATAATGAAGTTTAATTTACATGGTCATTCACAAATCCAATTAATGCTGACTGTCAGTTACATGAATGCCAACTTATGAAAGATCATGAGATGCCCATGAATCGGGCTTTCATGGGACTGTCTTATAAAATATATCAAAAGGAAAGAAAAAGAATGGATAAGGCACCAGAAGAGTCACCACAGATATCAAAATCAAATTCAGTACACAATCCTTCTGAAGGGAGGTATGATATTTTATTTTCATCTTCTACCACTGATCTTCAAGGTGGGGGGGACATATATACAGAGTGTTTCACGACTTTAGGGCATAACTGCAGGAGGTGATTTCCTAGGTCTTTGTGATCAAAAAAGTTCACATAAACATGTGTCCGATTTTGGACGGTTACGGAGGTATGACCGTTTTTAACTCCGAATAGAAGGTAATGATTACTGACAATAAATGGAACAAAATAATAAACCAGCATAATACATGATACATTTAAAGTATGAATGTAAAGTTAACTTCGTGAAATTACCTTTCATTTGAATTTATTGGTGCTTAAAGCTGATTTTCGAAAATGCCACTGCTGGCCGCAACACAGGCTGCCGCTTGGTTGTGAACCACATTGGACATACCAACTCACCCCACCTCAGGTACATCTCAAGTGTCGAGATAACGAGAACGCTCTGTCTGTAGCTGGCTAAAAATGGCGACCCGCCAGCTGACAGACACGGTTCACATGAGGGCATGTTCATTCATTCATCTGTAATCTGTCAAGATGACAGGTCCACAGTCTCTTCATAAACAGTTCCTCCACTTGATGTGATCTAGAGCTTTCTCCTTCAAATGAAAATATCCTCTTCTGTCCCCAAGGTCATCCGCCATCTTCTTACGTCTCCTTCCTCGTCTTCTGGTCACTTCTATCCACCCCTCTATCTTTCCTTCAATAACTTCTTTTAGAAGGCAGTTACTGTGTAAGATATGACCAATCCAATTAGCCTTCCGTTTTCTTCTTTCGTGTAGGATATTCCTCTGCTCACTGACTCTAAATAACACTTCTTCATTTCTCACATAATCAGTCCAACTGATCTCCATCCTTCTCCAACACCACATGAGGGCATGTATGGGAATGAAAAAACAGTCATAACTCTGTAACCGTCAAAAATCGGACACATGTTTATGTGAACTTTTTTGATCACAAAGGCCTAGGAAATCATCTCCTGCAGTTATGTCCTAAAGTCGTGAAACACCCTGTATTTGTGGACAGATCAATATTGCATCCTCATTACATAGTACAAAATTAAATTAAATACATTTTTAACATCCAAAATGGAAACAGAACAATTTCAGTTATGTTATCAAAAAGTTACACACTGTTATTTGCGTGTGTTTGTATTTATACGTCTGTGCTAGACATTATGAACAAACATTTTATACCTTAATATGGTCTCAGTCTTAACCCTTTTCTTCTCTGTACAGAATAAATGCTCTTTCAGTGTGGTAATATTAATCTGATGGTCACCTTCAACTTTCTTCAATCCCTGGAAATAAAAAGAGGAGAAACTCAATATGGCAACTGAAATATATACCGACTACAACTGCGTGAACTTTGTGATACAAAGGAAGTGAACAAAAATATGAAAAATAGCTTATATGTTAATAATTTGGATGAAATATTGTATAATGATGTAAATGTGTAAGTTTCAATTTCAGAAGTTTAGTTCAGAGTTCATTTAGGTGTAAGGACCCTTAAATTCTGAAGAGACAAATAATGAAGAAGATTCAATGGTTTGTAAATAAAATATCTGAATACCACAAAAATCCATAGAAAGAGATGGAATGTTGAAAATCCTAGAAATTAAGGGTCCTATGAGTTTTCAATGCATTCTATGGATTAGCAAGAAATGAAGAGAAAGTCTTGTATGCAGCAAGACACATGGATCTATGCGTAATGTTAATTTACATAAAAAATAAATTAGTAAATGAATAAGAATTACATGACTTTATGCACATGCTGGTGATGTAGTACAAGAAACATATTATTATCAGATGTCTGGATTGCAGACACAGACTACTGCAGTCTTATTACACTAAGGACTGTACAGAGGATGTGTCAGAAGGTTCCATTTCAATTTCTGGAGGGTTTCCATTGTTGTTTTGGTCCTATGGGGACATGCATTGTCTTGAAGGAAGGCTACCCGCTTTTTCCTTCACATCTGTTGTAAGGAGGTCTGAGTAATAAGCTGCACTGACTGTTCTGGCATCTGTCAGAAAGTCTATATGGATAACCCCCTGCCAGTCCCCGAAGAACGTTGCCATCACTTTTCATGCCAAACAGCTCCTCCGCGCTCTCTTGGGTTTGGGAGAACTGGTATGCCGACACTCGTGTGATGACTGCTGGGACTTGGGAATGAAGTAGTGCACCCACGTTTCATCGATGGTCACTATAGACTTCAAAAATGCATCACCTTCATCTTCAAACTGCTGTAGGAGACGACTGGCAGCTTGCATGCGCACCATTTTGTTGACGTCCGTCAAAGTGCATGGTACCCACTGTGCATTCACCTTGCGATAGTGCAGGTGGTATTTTACGATGTCTTCTACACTACCAACACTGATGGACAGCATTGCTCCAAGTTCCTTGATAGTGATGCCCCTATTCTCATGAATAAGCGCGTCTGCACGATCAATGTTTGGCTCGGTGACGGACATTTGCAGCCAACGATCATGCGGTTCATTCTCCATATGCTCTCTGCCCTCTCTGAAGCACTTACATCACTCAAACACACGGGTCCGTGAGAGACACTCTTCCCCATACTGTTGTTGGAGTCTGTGGTGAATTTCAGCGGACGGGACGTTTTCTCCGAGGAATTTGATCGCAATGTGTTGTTCCACGCTCCACGGTACCTTCTGTTCGCTCATCACTCTAGCAACTCCCAGAGGGGACTGAACAGGAGGGAGGGTGGAGGTTGTGGCTTCACTCTTTCAAGGTTGCACAGCTGCTGTGCAGTGCGGGTTGTTTACACACAAATCAGTCCCCGTCATATTTGAACCACCTTGTATATAAATCAATTTTAATCAATTGAATAGAATCAACAGAAACTCTGAGACACAACAATATTTCTCAGAATTACTGGGTTTTTGGATTTTGTCCATTTCCCAGTATTCTAGAAACTAGAAAACACGTTTAGGAAAAAACTGAACCTCTTTCCATCCTCAGCTGTGGGGGGGGGGGAGAAACGTACTCTGTAGGGTCCCTTAGAAAGAGGTAACCTGCTAGAATACCGGATGATGGACAAAGTCCAAAAACCAGTAATTCTGAGTATTATATGACACTGTCAGAACCCTATAAAACCAACAATATTTCTATTCATTTGCAAAAATTATAGGAAAAAAAGTCATTTCAGTATAGTCAGGGGTGGCAAATGGCTCTTATCCAGTACTGACTGACCAGAAAATAGAGCATCAGGCAACAAATAAGCTAAAGGATTACACAGATTGCAGATGATGCTCTCAGTTCAGAATGAAGGGAGACATTCGGTGACATTAACATTCAAGCTTTATATGTCTGTAACTTCTACACCATGATAATGCTGAGATTATATGTTCTTCCTGTTACGGTAATTTATGACACAAGGAGGACCATCATGTTCTCCAATAACCTCATACTTCTGTAGCTATTCTTATTATCCTTTCTTGGCCTGTCCATTTTCGTAGTCACCACACATCAGTGTTACATGGTTTACAAACTGACAAATTTAAAAGATTACAATTGTCCACCCACAAGATAGTCTTTTTGGAGTAAGAGTCTGCAGAGCTTCAAAACCATTCCTGTTGTTCTGAGCATGTCTTTCAAAATAATAGGTATTTCCAAAGCAGCCTCTTTTCAAAACATAAGCTGCAAGGGGTCACGGATAACCAGAATAAGGCTCACACAGTCTAAATGTTTTTATTCCATACTATGATGGTTTAAATGGAAGATACTGTTTCAGAAACAGTCAATCCTTCCACCAGGTGGGTCATTCATCAATAATATCTTATAGAATTTTTAATTTAGATAATTTTGTAGTTTGCAGTTTATTTAACAACACTGTAAGTAACTCAGAGTGTGTAGTGTTAAATGATCAGACAACAGTGAAATAATGAATTGGAAAAATTGTGTGAACAAGCAGTCACAGTGTAATTTAACGTACCATCCATGCTTCTGGCTAGAAGGCCACGGAAAACTATGAAAACTCTACGAGTCCTGGCGGATATAAATCTGATACCTCCATAATACAAGCCAGAGTACTATCTTGAGTCAGACTGTTTAGTGAATTTAGGTGAGTGATGATGGGATAGATTCTGAGTAAATTTCTGTGATCCTTCAGATACACCCTTGGGGGTGTTGTCAGAGAAAACAAAAACCTACAGATGCTTTCAAACCTGTCAAAGGAAATAACAAAACTAAAAGAGGGATTGGCTACCGGCTATTTCATAAGAAGCACAGTCTTAGGATAAGTATGTGTGCAAATACCATGAGCATGAAAACTTCCAAGACAATATACATTTCTTCTACTGTCACAGACTCATGCTCTTCCACCCTTGACCACCAAGTGGAACATATTGGCTATAAATCTCTTTAGTTCCATGCATAGCAACTGATCTCATCGATAATTCTCTGCTCCAGATTCTTTATTTAAAAAATTCCAAACAGTAAAGTGTTCTCTATATTCACTGTTGTACTGTGTCTTCCTACAAAAATTAGTATCAATCACACAGCACTCCCACCACCATTACTATCATCTTCACTGTCAGGTAAAAATATACTGTCTCCCTGACCATGTAAATCATATCTCAGCTTTCATCTGCATCTGGCAAATCCACTAGTTCTTCTATTGATTCTTTCTTTTCTACAGTACATGCAATAACGCTGGGCTTCAGGCCTTTCTTACCACTTAAAGTAATGAACACGTACCGAAATTCCTACTCATCTGCAGAGAAGAATATGAATGAATGAATGTATAAGGGGTGGGCCTTCTTGGCCCTTGCACCGCGACCTATAGTGATCTATTGTGCTTAATTTCTAAATATACATACAGTATATAACATACCAACAGAGCATGGAATCAACAGACCATCTATAATATTAACAAGAACAATCAGTGTCAAAAGAACCATCAGCCAAAAGCATAAATCATGTACTGTGATTTAAACTTGATTAACTCCTGGACACTGCAACTACCAAAGTCAAATCAAAACAATTTTTATGCCCAATGGCAGACAGTGATTTCTGTATTCACTGTATAAAATTAAATCACTTTCTGTAAAACACAGCAGCAATTCAGCTGGCTATCTGGAACACACAAATTTAGAATTCATAGGAATTATTACCATGAAAAGTGGCATGTAACAGTCAAAAAAAGATGGGGTTTGTTATTTACATGCTACAATACCATTTATTACCTTACAAAATAATATAAAAATAACACGTTATCTCGAAGACTAACACAATATAAATCAATAACAATAATGCTGCATCCTCCGGGATGCATTGAAGAATACGAGGAGTTGCACTGTTGTCTAATGGCATAACATCCATACTAAATTTTGTGAAAATCAGTAAAATGGTTGAAAAGTTGAAATGGGAAGAGATGCACATATAACAGGTAATCTCATATGCCCACCTTCTTTCCATCAAAAGGGAAGTAGATTCAAGATATGAAAAATGACAACTTAACCAAAACAACTTTTACGATCAGAACTGGAGGCACAATAGCCCTTACTCTGAAATTCAAACTCACCTGTTTTCTTTACCAAAATGGCAGAGACAATCTAACATATGAATGAAAGAACAACAGTGGATTAATGTCAAATCTATGAGGGACTAACAAATTATTCATATTTTATTTACAGGCAAATCATGTGAGCAATCCACATTACTCTTGCTTTGTCACTTTACTGTGGGAATTTAGCATGCATGCATCCATCTCAGTCAGCAGTGACAATGAACAGCTAAAACATACCTCAATTTCATCCTTCAGTTTATTTTCTTGTTCTCTATCTTTCTGTAACTCCTCTACCATCCTGAGTTCTTTAATCTGTATTTCCTCCAGTGCCTTAGAGACAGATCTAAAATAATCCACAAACAAGAAACATAAAGTAAATAAACAAACAGAAGAGCACTGCATAATATGTATAATTTCAAACAAAAAATTGCAAGTGCGTGTGAATTCAACAGCACACACTATAAATTATACCAGTCAATATATATTTTGCTTCTGGTAATATGAGCTGCAACTTGTACAATTTTACTTCATTATTTCCAGATAAAATCTTGTTTTTTTTCTAGCTACACTTCATTTTATCTGCACTTTCTAAAAGTCCAAGGCCTGCAGGTCCTTGCATGCACACATATGCATTCACACAAATGACACAACCTGAAACTGGTAGGGCATCTAACATGAGCAGGTGGTCATGCAGTCAATGAATAAAGGTTCCTGAATATCATTCAACAACTAAACTGCCAAGTCATCAGAAATGGAAGGAGAGTCAAAATTTCTCCCTCCTTCATTAATACAATCTTGTGTTCCTGTGTTTGACCCATCAAATCCCTAACACTTGCAACAAACCCGATTCTTCCCCTTCAACTTGAGTGTACTGGTGTCAGTACAAGTCTTTCACATGAATAATATCTATTTTTAATTTCTGACAAGAAATTTGTAATGTCACTTTCCCTTTCATCCTCCATAACAACTGTTTTGTTATGATAACTTACAAGGTACTTCCATATCTTGTTAAGGTTGTATGCGCATATCTGCCAATGCAAAAATGAATTAATGAAAGAAGTAAAATTACTTTATATACAGGGCTATCCATAAGTCCGTGAAACATTTTAAAAATTTACAATAAATAAACTATGCAACAGATACCAAATTTTCTTACACTGAAAAAGAGATAAACTCACAAAGTTTTTTCTACATAGTTCACAGATGCTCAATGTGTCCACCTTTGCTGATACAGCAGACATCTATGTAATAATCCATTTCGTCCCACACCTGGGACAGCATATCCCAGTTGACCAGAGTCACAGCAGTGGTGATAGGTTGTGAAGATCCCTGAGATTAGCAGGCAACGGAGGTACAAAAAAAAAACTTGCAGAGATTCCTTCTCTATCGGCGTAAGAATTACCATGCTCCGATGCATTGTTTATTTGTTGTGAATTTTTAAAATGTTTCACGGACTTATAACGCTGTATAATATATCAAACATAAATATAAATAATCAATTGAGAAAATTTAAAGTTTGTTTCATCTATCCTGAAATCTCAATTTGGACTGTAATGTATAAAGTGGGAAGAATCATACTTGTTCACTCTTAAATACATTTCAACTGATTGACTAAAAGAGCACAATTCAGCATATAGGAAAATCCCCAAAGAATAATCAACCAAAATTAATACAAATCATGCACATAAAGAACATACTCTAGCTCATTTTGTAGCCATGCATCACGTTCTTCTTTAGTGTCAAATTGCTCATGTCGACCTAGCCTGTCATATATTTCATTACGCTTCCATTCCAACTCTGAGAGCCTGCAACAAACAAATACATTTTATTTCATGAGGTGGTAATTATCAGTTGTGATTATTTCTGGACACCCATAAACACAACTTTCAAATCTATACCCTCTTACTTTCACTCAGTATGAGATTGGTTTAAAGAAGGTCTACAAAACAAGTTATTAATTATGAAATATTCTCATAATTACATAATTAGCCCTTTTCTGCACTAAATTCAGTCAAATTAAATATTCTCACCACAATTTATGTGAAACATAAGCATCATGCCGAATCAAATTTTAATGGTGCACCAAAAGGTTAAACCATAAAATAGCAAATAATACATCTTGAGATATCCACAGATTTAAAAGAAAAAAATAATTTTATGGATATATTAACTTCTGATATGAACACAGGACTTAGTTGGCCTTTATCGGCCACCATTTAAATTTCAGATGCGCCAGTTCCCTGCTTGATTTATTGGTGCTTAAATGTCAAAGAGAGTTGTGTTTCTCAAAATAAACTGTACTTATAAACAGGATGGCTTTTAGTTAAAGACAAGATGATGGATAATGTCCAAAAACATAATATCTGTACAGAATTCAGTTAACTAATACAAATTACTTCAGACATCTGTGAATCCTCCTTTTTGTTTTAAACAAATATTTTAATTATTTTCTGCCTTTACTTAAAAATTAACAAAAAAAAAACCTTCCTGATTTCTGCTGATGTGAAATTCAGGTACACTGACAACGTAAAGTCAGGGGATAAACTCCGCAGCCTGTAGTCTGCAAGCAAACTATACTGATGGAGTGACTGCTGCTTGTCGGTGAAGTTAGTGCCAATTTTTGCAGTCAGAGGGTGTCATGTGGTCAGCGCAATGGATCCCAACGGCCGTTAATCTCAGTTTTCTAGACTGGATAAGTCAGGGGATATCTGAACCTAAATAAAAAAATTGACAGACAGACAGTCCTTCCCCTAATATACCCACTCAGACTGGCAGAAAACTCAAAAGCTTCTACTTGACAAACATCCAAAAGTCATCCAATTTTTCAATGCTTTACAAAGGAAAGCAATGTATCTCCAGAATTTTTATTGACAATCTGGAGTGATACAGTAAAGAAACTACATTACTATGATTATATCACATTTTTCTCACATCTGGATGGACCAGCAGGTCAAGTTTGAAAATCCAGTATGCTTACAGCATACCAACACTTACTTAAAAACAAGAATAGTAAGAGATTAAGACACCCACATTTTTGTACACTCCTCTTCTTTCTTCTTATATTCTTTATACTTCGGTTTGAGATCCAGCAGTTCTTTCTCATTCTGGGCCATCCTCTTTTCCAAAGTTTTAAGTTCATCTTGTGTTCGCACCTACAAAGACAGAACTGAACAGTGCAACACATATGGCTACTGTTTTAACCCCTTTGAAGTCTGCATGCATTCTAAGTAATACACAACAATTCAGCTCATACCTGACATGACACAATATTACAAAGACCAGTCAGTTAATGCTATTTGGGGAAACAGTCACTGTTTATTGTGAGAACCATACGAAACACATAAATACACTTTGTGGGCAGAATTCGGAGTTTTAGTAAGTTACAGCAGGTGGTATATATAGTAACTACTAAGCTCTATAGGGTTAAATACCAATAACTGGACGACACTAAATGTGGGATTAAATAACAAAAACTCACCTTTTAATAAAATCAGGATTATGGAAATACTACATAATACCCATAATATATTTGCAGTCATATTCATCAAACAATGGAACCAGAGACAGTAACAAGGACATGAACCAAACTGGTTCCAGATTTTAACAAAGTTTTTTAAATCACACACAGGTTACACTACTAGGGATTTTATTAGCTAGTTAACATAAATGACTCATGCAACACACCTTCTGTTCACTGGCTGCTTCGTGCTCGTCAGTCAGTGTGTTTTTCTTCAGCTTGGTTTCATCAATATGACTCTGCATGTCGTGCTCTTCTATTCTCAGCTTGCTCTGACAATCTCTCAGTGCTCCCAAACGCTTTTCAACGTCCTCTAGCAATTTACTGGACTTCATTATTTCCTCCTGAACCTTCTGCTGAACAGCTCTGCATTCTCTTTGGCTCTTCAAACCAGGCGAATAAAATTCTTCCATCTAAATCATATTGCCAGATACAGATACATAAAATTTTATTCTAAATTTCAGAAGTTTCAGGTAATATTATGGTACGTAATGGACTGCATATTTTTGGGTTGATAACTGAATAGAGAGCAATGGTAGCATAATTGGTAGAAGAAAACAAAATACTCAGGGGAAAATAATATCAATGCCAATATGTTCTGCCCCTTTCAGGTGCAGCTGCAAGAATTTCAAAAAGCATCTACTAGCTTAATTATGTCTGTCTTCCTGCATGAAACAATCAGCTCCCACTTGGTGGATTTTAATGAGTCTATTGATGAGTTTTACTGAAATATGTCAAAAAAAATTAATGGACACTTTATATAAACACCCAAATGAATATGAGTATTGTTCAATTGTTCAATTTATTTATGTTATGTAAATCCAGATATAGGTAGACACCATAGGATATGGAACAAGAAAAATACAATATAAATACAATGACATCTACACAATAACAGTCTACTTGAAAAATTAATAAGATTACGAATTACATAAATAGAAGTTAACTGTGCTTACGCATCACAATTTGAGCCTGTTAACAGAAACAATGTCGATGAGTACATCACTAATAAGTAATAAGATTATAAATTATGTAGATACAAGTTAATTATACTTGTGCATCACAATTTGAGCCTGTTGTCAAAAACGTCAATGAGTACATTGTTAACAGTAAAGTAAAAGCAAGCAAGAAATCTCCTAATTTGATTTGTCTCATTCTGGTCCGTCACACTATTAATTACAAAGTGGATAATTTTTAGTCCAGTGTGACATACAAGTTCACAACACTTCAGTCTTTATTTTCCTTACATGTTTCGATTCAAAAGAATCATCCTCAGAGGCGCACCACTACGATCAGGAAACACTGTCACATAAGATGTTCTAACAATATGCACTTAAGCTATGAATAATGCTCACTATATAAATCTTGTTAAAACATCTTATGTAACAGTGTTTCCTGATCGTAGTGGTTCGCCTCTGAGGATGATTCTTTTGAATCGAAACATGTAAGGTGAATAACGACTGAAGTGCTGTGAATTTGTATGTCACACTGGACTGAAAATTATCCACTTTGCAAGAAATCTCCATTCATACATTCATACGCAATCCATAGATCCCCATAAGGGAGACCTGAATACAGTAAAATACAGTAAAAAATGGCAAGCGGAACAACAATAACATATATAAAATATTCTTCCAATAAGTATAATTTAATTCTGAGGGTATCTCACTCTGTTCCCCCTCCAATAATGTGAGCACAATGAGGTTACAATAGGAGTCAAGATATGGCCAGTCAGTTCCTTAATTTCAGAGATAAAATTCCTGAACACACCTCAAATGTTCCATCCTACCTACGTTTCCTATCTTATTTATTTGTTCATTGATTATTTTGCCACAGGCTCCACTGTCTATAAATTATTCACAATTTGTGTTTTACTGGCAATGTAATTCTTAAATATTTGTGTCTTAACTTTAACATTTTCACGTGATTTATGCATGATATGTGTGTTATAAAATACTGTTATATAAAGAATACCTGACCACTACAACACAATTTAAATTTTAACCACATTCTAGCCAGAAGTCTTCATCAAATTCCAGCTGCACTCAAAATATTCATCAGGCTATACTGCTAATTACACCACACAGAAAGCAATAAAAACCTTTCTATTATAAGATGCAAGAAGTGTTCAAAACTTAAGGAGAGGGCATTGCTAGCACCTCCTGTGAAAATGGTAAATCATTAAATTCAAATTTACAGTGGATATATCCTCCATGAAGAGGCTACTCAACTAGAATACAAAGAAGATACTATCCATGAGGAGTCTGCAGAAACCCAGGGGAACGAAACAGAGGAAACTGCAGCAGACCCATCTCTTAACTGTGCAGTGCTATTTGAAAGAGATCAACAGCAGGAAGTTCGTATGTCAACCAGACAAAGGAGGCCCCCAGTAAAGCTAAGTAAAGATTTTTTATAGATAAGCATAGTGTGGG